GGTTTTTTTTGATAAAATTTATGACAAACCACTTAAACAAACATTATTTATTATCAAAATCTTTATTTATTTAATGGGTTTCTAGTCTCCATTAACTAGCGTTAAAGCCTGTTGGGCTTTTATTTTACGATGGGTTTGTGCATATCGAGTAATCCAATTACTAATTGTAGAAACTTTAGGAATTTCTTCTACCTCTAACATACCTTCTTCAACCAATTCTTTTATCTCATTATGCATTTCTTGAGCCATATATTTTTCACTTTTGTTTATATCTCCAGCCAAGAAATATGCTTCAAGGTATGAAATAACATTTTTGCTTATTCGTTTACCTCCTCCCTTTTTATCAAATTTTTGTTTTTCTTTTAGAGCCCATTCACTTGATAATGCAAATTCTAATGTATATGCTGGATTTTGTCTTGAATCCTCCAACTCAACATCAATTTCAGTATTTGACGAACCTATTGTTGTAAAAGAAATAAGTTACAAACCCATTGTTGAAAAAAAATATGATTTGAAATTGTACAGTTACAATTTATAGTAAGAAATTATTTACCTGTATTATTTCGCTTTGATATTTCATCATTCAATTTATTTTACAACATTTCTGCTAATATAATTCTATTATTACTTATATCTGTATCAATATCATAATCCTTCAAGTATTTCTTCAATTCTTCAATAATAAGGCGGTTTACATTGATTTCTAGTTCAAAGGATCCAAAAAAAAGTTCTTATAAATTTGTGTGCTTGGGAATAATAGATGATAATGGTCGATAAGAATCAAAGAATAATGTTTCATTGAAATCATCATATCAAGAAATCTGTAATGTTTGACTTGCGTGCACTGTAATTACTTAATGTTTAAGAATTATAAGAATTAAAGATAAAAAATTCAATTATAATTATTCAACATGATGGGATCTAAATCGATCGATTGATTAAAACTTACCTGCCATTTTTTATCATACTTTATATCATATCATTCAAATTATACTGTCAATACACTAATTTAATAAAAAATAATTGAAACTGAATCAATGTATGAAGTACAATAATTCAAACGATCTCATTCATAAAAATAACATCCTCAGATATAAGATATAATATGATTCTACGATATTAAAATTCCTTTATTACTTTAAGCTATTAGGATTCTAAATTTTAGAAATATCTAACATTACTTAGCAAAATCACACTTAGCCCAATCTTTGAGAATTTTTATCCTGATCCACAATTAATTTTTTAAAACTTTCTTCGGCAATTTTCATCCTTGGTCCGTCAGGCCTGTAATACCAGGCTAAAATTGCGTTAGTGATTACCCGTGCGGCTCGTTTATGTTTGTCCAACCATTTTCGAACATTTCGCTGAATGATAATGACAGAATCATTTTCAATTTCCAACTCACTTCTACAGCTTTGACAGTCAGTTCCAACACAACCGTAACAACCATGAGAACAAATAAAGAAACCCAAGTCCCAGTAATAGCTATCCTTGACATACCATGGTATTTTGTGATAAGGTTTATTACAAATGCACTAACCATTATAACTCATATATATTTCTCTTCTGTGATCTTGACTAGCTTTGTTCGAGAAGTTTTATTCTTGTGAATAGTTTTTTGGTATATTAATACCGTGTTATATACATGTATATTATAATAAAAAATCTTTCAGAATTTTAAAGTTTTGTAGATGTAGGGTTTGTAAAGTTTCCTGCTAAAAGAATTTTTTTATTGAGAAACTTATGAAGCGAGGAAAGATCATTTGTAATCAGAGTTTATGCTACATATGACATCTTATGAAATCGTATTAACGTACCTACCAAGTGTTACCAAGATTTTTTTAAACGCCCCTCTCATTTAATAAATAATAAAAAAAAAATTTTTTTTATAAATAAGAAATATAGGTATTTATTTATATGCAAATTTAGAGTATTTTTAACATAATAGATTTTCAAAGAATATGAAAAATTTTAAAAAACAAAATCTTTTTTATTGCTTTTTCTTTATTTTAATTTTAATAAATATATGGTTTAGATTATTGAATCAATATTAACATATAACCACAATTGACACGAGATACAAAAGAAAACTTTCGAAATAATCCTCACCTCATTGCAATTTCAAGCATTAGCACATAATTAATATAACGATACTATGCGGTTAATGACATTTTTAAAACCATTTAATGCGTGTTGATAAATTCTGTTGATCACATTTGCCATTATATAAGCAATTTCCATATATTTAATTTTGCTCCAGAAAATTCATTTGTTTAATTAGCAGAAATTTTAAAGAATTCAGTATATTAAATGAATTAGCAAATCTTTTGGATTCAAATATATAATATTGATTTGATCAATTTTTGCATATACTTCGAAACAACATCTATTTGCTGAACATAACTTTGTCATTACGAATCTATAAATTTCAAAAGTTATAACATAATTGGCGGTGGAAAGTATTTCTCAATATTAAAACTATAAGAATAAAAGGAAAAGTATATTTACTGTCATGGTAAGCAACGTAAAACTGAATCATCAACAACAATACTAGCTACCACACCAACTACAACTACAATTCCAACGAAGTCAAGCACAACGTTTGTAAATAGTTTTGACAATATTGTCACTGGCGGTAGCAGTTGCGGTCAGAGTAGTGTTTCACGGGTAAATATAAGTGATACACGTGCTGTTTTTGGTGCAATTAATAAAATAGTTAATGGATTGAAAATTTCACATACACATATCGATTGTTTTTTTAAAAATTAATAAAGTGAACATAGTCACAATTAATTAATTCAATGATGGTATCAAGTTTTATAATTTTTTACTTATGGGAGGTTTACGAACATAATAAATCATATGATCCGTAACGTGATTCCACCTACTTACCCCAGTTTTACCACCACACCTACTTTCACACCTTATCCATTTCATTATAATAACAAACATAATAAATATACTAGACTAATTTTCGTCATTCCTCCTTTCTAGATGGATTTGAGTCACGTGAGCATATGAAATTAATTTAAACGAGGTGTCTTCTCAAAGAATGAATAATTATCATTGCATAGAAGAGGTCGAATAACTAAAAAAAATAATATTGACGCAGGAATAAACTAATTTTAAATCCTTTCTAAAAGAATTATCAAAAGGTCATTTAAAGTTTATTGAATTATAAGAATATATTTATTTATAATTGAATTATATATAAATAAACTAAATCTATTTTGAAGCTTATCCCACACAACATGATTGTTAATATTAGTATTTATAAATTCATTCATTCAAACTAACAACACGTGTATTAAAAAAAAACTGATTTATAACTTAAAAAAATTTAATATAATAAGTAAATGTCATATTTTTTTTTTTAAAAAAAAAAGAAATACTACGTTTTTTTTTGGAATTTTGGATTTTCAAGTTATTACGCTTATCAAACGCACTTTTCGAGTCACCCACGATTTTTTATTGTTCTCTTGCGTGTAGTTTATTTATTTAACGACAACCATAATTATCTAATTATCGCGTGTATCATTGAATATTTTAATTTCTTTAATAACGCCTAATTTTTTTATACATTTCAATTAATTTGTCATTTCTTTCATCCAATGTAATTGTCCATGCTATTTTCGTAATAATAGTTAAAGAAAGTGGAATACATGGCACACGATTCGCCCAGCGTTTAAAGATAGTCTTTAATCCCCATTGAAATGCCGTTTCTATATCTACGTAAGATCCCATTTCTAACTTTAACTCGTGAAATTTTTTAGGTGAAAATTCTACAACCATCTCTAAAAATTCACGCTCCATTATATAGTCTTCACAATCATTACCGCACAAAAAATCAAGGCTTTCTAATTGTTCACAACCTTTAAAAATCACTTTTAATGAATCCAAGTTATTCAAGTTTGTATTTGAATATGTAAATCGTAACGTTTTCAGATTTGTACAAAAATTGGCTATAGCTAAATTTAATGAATTATTAAAAGAATAATTTTTTCCAAGATCAAGTTTTTTTAAATTCTTTCCATTGATTTCTAAGAAATTGATCAGGTATCCAACTTTGGGACATTTATATTCAAAAGTTAAAATTTGTAATTGTGGAAGGATAACATGTTGAAGATTTTTAAATCTTTTAATCCTTTTTTTCTAATAAATGATAATGAAAGTTCTTGTAAATTTGAGAGCTTAGAAATAAATGACAATTTCATGTGACAAGGTTTTCCAACAATGTGTAACTTGGTTAATGCGTTTGGAATTTTTGCTAGTGATTGCCTTTCATCTAAATGTTTGTCACAGTAATCCAAGTCAGATTCATCTGAATAACTATAATAATAATCATCCAATTCTGATTCAATCGAATCATCATAAATATAATCCAAGTACAAGTCCAAGTACTTTAAATCTTTTTGAACAGAAATTAATTCTGTTAATCCATTTGAGATGAAATATTCAAAAGTTATTTTTAGTGATTGTAAATTATGACAAATTCGAGATATCTGATAAAAAATTCAGGATATAAATTTGAACTACATGAAATTCGGAAAGATTACTTAAACAATCCTTTCCTCCAGGATAAATGGATGTTGTCGTTTACGTTAAATTCAAAATATAAAATTTTCAAAGAGGTTTGATTCATAAACATTTTAAATATTTCCTGTGTTATTATCAAACTTTTATTATTAACAAGTCTTTTTGGAGTAGAAGGTTGATGATTCCTGAGAAATCTTATAATTGCATGATGAATACCATTAATACAAAGAATTTTGATAAAAGCTGTATAATTAAACAATGGTGGTTTTGAGGTTGATATTATGATCCCATTCTTATATAAAATTGCTTTGGATTTCTTAGGAAGACAAGTGATTAAAGTTTTAAAATTTTGCATTCTTCTCCATAAAATTCGAACAGAGATTTTACACCAAAGACGGTTCACTAACAAACATGAGCGTAAATCCTTTTTTTTCAAGTATTCTAAAATTTCATTTAGGCAACCAGCAGGAAGGAACAAAGTCATCATTTTTTTTTTTTAAAAAAAAAAAGGGGGGAAAGATTTGAACAATCAAATATATTCGGAACAATGCTTGCCGATCATTTCGGCGTACGTATTGAAAATTTTTTGACTGAATTTGTCTGTCATCATGCCTCCCGCAGAATTAAACATATAATTGTTATTAATATAGAATTTTAAATAGTACTATGGATTTATTAAACTTTTTATGATTTGTATTTAAAATGTTAAAATCAAGCATAATGTATTATCTTTGAAACTAAAAAAAAAAAATCGAATTATTTTTTAGTGCAATAAGTGCGGCCTCATTGAAATTTAGATTTAAATACATTGAAAAAATTTTAAAAAATACATCATATAATCAAAAAAAGAAAATTCCTTCTACTATCCTCGCCCGAAAAGCAAAAACAAATTATTATTTATTTATTCACCGCTGCTACAAATATTGCTAATAATCAATTTCATTAATTAAAAAATTATACAATAAAAAACTTATCAACCAATGAATAATTATCAAAATAGATCATTTAAAACTGCGGAAATAATTCATAGGGAGTCTCATCATTCCTTTCGATAACTGTTTCACAACGTCTTCTCATTAAAGTCTATTAAATTTTTTATAATATAATCCGGATATTAATCCATCCCTGTGGTTTGTGAAACCTCCTAGGAAGCTTTGACGTATACTTATTTTTTCAAAAACGTGGCTGACCTATATACTCTCTTTATCTGGCATTTACAGTCTCATCTCATTTTCCGGAATTTTGAAATGTTTTTCTTCTCATCAATGAATCGATTATCTTTTTGTTTTGCTTATTTGAAAAAGTCTGATTGATCCATCTTGCTCCTGCTTATTTGAATTCTTTTATTTAAACTTGCTATGAATATGATATGACGAAGTTCAAATTACTTGAAGATCATTACCATTTTCCACATCTTTTACTTCGTCTTTTAAAGGTGATATAATCATGCTAAAAAAAAGAGGAAGTGAATAGAACAACAAAAGTATTGATAGATTTATAAATTGTTACAATGTTAGTTAATGGGAACTTTAACGGCAAATTCTTTTTCAGATTGAGGATTGAGTGTTGAAGATGTAATTTGTCAACACGATAATGATCCCAAATATTACTAAGAACTGGCTTTCCGATAATGGAGTAACATTTTTGACAATCTCCACCCATAGAGCATAAGCCGATAGTCGTTCTTAAGACACCTTCCAGAATTACAGGAAGGGAAGACCCGTGAGAAGGTTTACAAGATGTGTGGAATGGAATTGAGGTCTATATATTGGAGGTTTGATATTAATCACGTTACGAATCATATGACTTAATATGTTCGTAAACTCGATTTTAATAGCAAATCACCCAATATGTTTAAATTTAATTGAGTCTTGCCAAAAAGGATACTGATGTAATTTACACAAGAGGTAAGTCAATATTTGTTCAACGTCGCGTGGTTTTTTACGTGATTAAATAAGAATAAATTTTATATTTTTAATAAAGTTTGATTAGGAGAACAAAATAAACTTTATATGATTTTAATGAAAAATTTATGTTTAATTGAGCGTATAACCAACAAAATACTGGCAATCCTGAATTTTCAAATTATATTTTCAAAATATTTTCCTACTCAAATCTGGGCTGCAAAAGTCCAAATTTAGAAACCCGGACTTAATAATATGAAAATTCGAGCTTGACCCAATATAATTAATTATGCTATTTTGCGATGCGAAATTGAAATAATTCAATAATATTTATATTTACTAATTTTATTATCAAAGTAAACCGAGAAGTAGATCTAATTCCTAGTTACCATATAAATTTTTTTTACCGATTTACTAGATTTAAAATTTTTGATAAAAATTGTCTTTTTATACTTTTTACTCAAATGAAGGTTCGATTTAAACCTAAATCTATCTGGTTAGAATGTATCATAATAATACTACCTCTTTTATTATGATCTTTGGAAAAAATTAATTAAAAAAAAACAAACTCATACCCTACCCTCTAACAAAAGGTGATCAGATTTTCATGTGAAACATTCCAAAAAAATTTTGTCGTCATTACCGGTGGCTTAGAAATTTGATTAACGTTACATGAGTTACTGCATGCATTTTTTTTTTTTCCTTTACTCCAAGAATTTTAGTTCATTACGATATATCAAAAGTTTAATAAATCAACATGCAAGCTGCCAACGATTCGAATGAGTGGAATAATTGGATTGAAGAATCTATCTCAAGAAAAAATATCAAATACTATGAATACAACCATTTTAGTAATTTTCAAGTAATTGGTACAGTTTTGGAAAAGTTTATTGTGCAAATTGGAAAGGTTCAAAGCAACATCTCGCATTAAAATCGTTTCATAACTTCAACAATGACACTGTTAAAAAACTTGTTCATGAGGTAAATTGCAAAATAAAAGATAAATTCTTTTTGTATAATAATCTAAAATTTATTTTCTAATAATTTAGCTTGAACTTCATCGGGAAGTTGATTTCATAGCAATATCATCCGCTTTTTGGGAATTACCTCAAAACAAGGTATAAATAATATGGAAATATATATATTGACCTTTGCATTTTATTTTTAAATTAATATAATTTATGTTTAAAAAATAATTAGATAATCAAAATGATCAATTGAAAAAATATTGGTTAGTAATGGAATATGCTGACGGTGGTGCGCTTAAAAACTATTTGAAGGGTAATTTTGATAAGCTTGCTTGGGAAGATAAATACAAATTGGCATTCCAATTGGCTTGTGCTGTATCGTGTTTACATGACGAAGGAATTGTGCATCGTGATTTGGTAATTTTTACATCACATATATTTTCTACTGAATATTGTTGCTTAAAAATTGATTTTTTTTTATATACATATAATAGCATTCCGGCAATGTATTAATTCATCAAGGCGCCATTAAACTAGCCGACTTTGGATTATCGAAAAGAATTGAAGCAGCAACTAGCCAATCAAAAGCTTTTGGAGTAATTCCTTATGTTGACCCAAAATTTTTTAACAGACGAAGAAGTGATACTACATCACCAAAATTTAAATTTAATGAAAAGAGCGACGTTTACAGTGTTGGTGTACTTTTGTGGGAGATATCAAGCGGATATCCTCCTTTTTATGTTAAGGATGAAGAATACGACGTAAATTTAGCTATCTAAATTTTAGGTGGACTTAGAGAAAAGATCATTCCTGACACACCTGAAGATTATGTGAACATTTATACTGGTAAATATACGATATGAATTTATTTATAGAATATAAATGATTATTAAATTTTTTATTTAATTTCAGGGTGTTGGAATAATGACCCGGATAATCGTCCATCAATGAATCAAGTAGTTAATCAATTAAATGCAAATGTTAACACAACAGAGAATAAACAGACGAATAATAATGACCCAAATCTTCAACGTCATTGGAATAACAACGATACTTCTTCTAGCATAAATAATTCATTTGGAGAAACATCTCAAATTATTCGATTTGATCAGATAAATTATCGAAAGAATAATGTATCAAATAACTCTGAAATTATTCATCATTTTGGTCAAAATAATGTAGAAGAATTGGAATCAAATGTCGGAGTATCTAATATTATTTATGATGATGCTATTGAAAGTTTAACGATTACGAAATTTAATGAGGATGACATATTTAACGCCTTAGGAGGATTACAAAGATATCGAAAATTAACTAAACTCATTTGCAATGATACTTCTATAACTATCCTACCAACATTACCCAACTCATTAACGGAACTTGATTTCTCGGATACTCCAATAACTATCCTACCAACATTACCCAACTCCATAATGGTACTCAGTTGTCGTAGCACTAAAATAAATAGCTTACCAACTTTGCCCAACTCCTTAACAGTAATAGGACTAAAATAAATAGCTTACCAACATTACCCAACTCCTTAACGGAACTTGATTACTCTTATACTCCAATAACTATCCTACCAACATTACCCAACTCCTTAAAGGAACTTGATTGTTCGGATACTCCAATAACTATCCTACCAACTTTGCCCAACTCCTTAACGAAACTTTATTGCTTTTTTACTGAAATAACTATCCTACCAACATTACCCAACTCCTTAACGGAACTTATTTGCTCTCATACTCCAATAACTATCCTACCAACATTACCCAACTCCTTAACGAAACTTGATTGCTCATCTACTCCAATAACTATCCTACCAAATTTACCCGATTCCTTAATGAATATCAGGCCCGTATCTTTAAAATACTCAATGCCTCTTTTTCAAACCGATATTTAACCTTCTATATGTTCAAGTTTCTTTTGAGAAGTAAAGATATGATAAGTTTTCACATAATTTAAAACACTTATTGTATTATTAAATCCTTAAGTATTGATGACAAAATGGTCATAACATTCATTAAATTGTGCAATATATAGTCTTTCTTTATTGTTATTAATGAAAATTAGATAAAATTATAAAGCGTTAAAATATAGAAGTTTTTTCCTTTAAATTATTTTTTTCAGCATTTATACACCTAATATTTCTTTAATACGTCATTCCAAATACGAAATTGCAGATTTAGAAGACATTTATGATATAATTGGATTTAAACTTTCTTTTTTTTCATACATAGCAAATTTCCTTACAATATTCTTTTCCTCATTTTATATTATCAAGCTTGACAAACTCGCTTTCAGCTCACAAAGCATTTTGATAATTGTAGCTTTGCGATAAATATAATCTTACGGATACGAATGATTGTATCAGATAAAATACCACAGAGATTACAAATAATATTAGTGCACAAGTTGCTTGAAAATTGTGTAAAAATTTATTTTTTTAAAAAAAAATAAGCTCCACAGAGTTAAATTATCATCACGGAGTTTAATTATTTCTCTTTTAGATTATATATACAAATATCTTATCTTATCTTCCTATTCGTTATCACTAAGAAGTTCTTGCTGATGAAAATTGGCAATGAAATGTTAACCAACCATTATAAAGATAATGTATTCGTACTAAAAAATATTTTCTTAATATCATGATTCAAATTCTCATACTCATTAATATTATTTTCATATAATAAAAATAAGATGTATAACTTTTACCTTACGAATTAGATTTAATTATTTTTGAATAAAAAATTTTTTTGTACTTTCTTCACGCAAAAATTAATGTAAAATATATATTGATTTGAAAATTTTGGAGGACGAACACAATAATTATGTTGTAAATCTTGAAAGATAGTTGAAAATTTTATACTTTCCTTACTTACGTCATTATTTCTTACCGAGATTTATTTCTCATTATTCTTTAATGGTACTTCTGCGGAGAAAATCAGATATATGTACTAATTATTTATTTTTATTAAAAAAATTATTATTCAACTAGCTATAATAATCACAAGAATATAGAGTATAAATATTTTTATTTCTTTATGAATGCAAAGTAATTTGACGTATAATTTCTTTTGAAAAGAAAATTTTTGAATAAAAACCTCGTTGACTTTCTCTACAGTACTGATCACTTTACTTATCCCGTCGAGATCGCCCGTGATTCTTGATGTTATTTTATATTGATAGTGTTCGATATTTTGGTCGACTATAAAGATCTAATAATGATTTGATAGGATAATTAATTCCTTAAATTCTTTATTTGTTCATTGTTTCGTTGTTCCTTCCATAAACTCATGAGATCTTTTTTCGAGTTCCCTTACATGAAGATCTTGATCAACCATGGTCAAAAATACTTTTCATTATAAAATGAAATTTTTCTCAATTTCAATATTTTTATATTTTTTAAATAGTAGAGTTTGCTTGAAGACATATTCATACGAAATTAGTTTCAGTGATTTTGTTTAGGTTTAAGGCTAGACTAGTAAATACATTATAACAGAAAATTTTCGGTTATAATTAGGGACGATTCTTTCAGTTTATTTCTGTTTCACTTCGACTCTCAAAGTAAGTTAAAACCTTGATCGTGTCAGTCCATTAAAATGGTTTGTAACCCGGGCAACTCATAAAATTTTCTTCAGTCCATTGTGAAAATTTTCTATAGAATCAGGTTTCATAGACGGGGGAGTATTATATTCTATTTTATCAAGTTATAATCTAAAGAAAATAATTTTGAGACGAATTTTGTTTTTAGGTATATATCGAATTTTTGGGTATGATTATTTTTCTTTGATTGCATAATGTGGAACATTTTTTCCTATACCATGTAACAAATTTACCCGAGTTCCCTTTTTGGCTTGAATATTATCCTTTCCTTTATTTTAATTTATCCATTATGGAAATATGTTTTTACAGTTGCAATAATAATTTCACTTTTTAATTACACTTAACCTATTATCTACCTATTATACATATCGCCGTATGCATTTTAAATTGATAAGGCTTATTTCATTTTATCCCGAGTTTATTAAAGTAACTGACATCGATCGTTATTTAGGATTTAGCAATAATCAAAAGAGACGTTTAGATAAAACTTGGGTGTTATCTGAATCATAATTCGGATTGTTTTCAAATAAAAATTTTCAATCTGAATATAAAAAGTATTATATTTAGAACATCTGATATATTTTTTTTCATGGATACAACTTGTACAAAAAATGATGGGAAAAAAGGCCAAATTGTCATAAGGACAATTTGTTTCAAGACTCTTTGATTAATTATCAGCTCAATGTTAGCTTATTAAATAAAAAAAAATATCATTCGAGAATTTTCAATAGTATAATAGTTATTAACACTTATTTCACTACTTACGAAGATAAAGAAACTAAGTGATGAATACTTAAAAAAAATGTATTTATTTATAATACTTAAAAAATCAAAATGATGATTAATAACATTGAGTAATTCTTGCAATTACAGATCAATATATTATTATTTTCAATACCTTTACAACATAAAATATAAATTATCATCATTTCTCATATAAATATTTTTTTTACATAAAAAGATAAAAATAAAATTAATTACCATTATCCTCATCATCATTTTTCGATTGATTATTTTCATTTATTTTATTTACTTTTATATTATTAAAATATTTCCAAGAGTTAGAGAAAAGCGTGGTTTTGTTCGCGGAAAGATCCTTAACGGGATTGCAAAGCTAAATAAGCGAGGTATCTATGTACAGCAGACGGGAGCGAAAGCACTCGTGCAATCTCTGGAACCATACCGTCATTCATTCTTTCTATCGCTATTGTTTTTTTTCTTAAATAAATTGACTTTCTTTGCATCTTTTTGAAAAGGCTCGTCGACGGTTAACCATTTTCTCAAATGAAACGTTATTTTTTTTTGCGAATAAAATGATATGTTTATTTTTGCGAAAAAACGATATCGAATGAAATTTTTTTTTGCGAAAAATGCTTTTCTGAATGCGTGGGAATATTTGTAGCATAATCAGTTTTTTTAAAAAATTTGGCGTAAAATTATATATATTTTTACGCGAAGATTACGTATGTATAAAAAAAATAATAATAATAATAAAATAAATAAATCAATCTATATTATAAATTTTTATTTTGTGTAATTTTTTTTTTTTATTACTTTCGGTATTACATAATTAATATCAACCGCAAAAAAGATTTGTGATAAAATGTTTTCATTACGTATAAAAAAAAGGCATACCGTAATATAGAACTATTATATTTGGGTGATACAAGAACGTAATTAAAACTAAATTTGGCATTGATCTCTGAATTTATTTCACCGTTATTTCAAAAATATTACAAAATTTTGATTTTGAGCTGACTTTCCTAATATTTTGATAATAAAATGAAAGATTTTGGTTATTTTTTTTTTTGTAATATTATTAAATAATTTTATCACTATATTAAATTTATCGACCAATTAAGTGTTGCAGTATATAGCATTATTTTAGATGCAAAAACCCACTGCCAAATATTGATTCATAAGGTCATGATAATCTTGAACAGGAATACATATCAAATTACAACCTTCACCGTCAATTATTTCATTAACTATTTCTCAAGAGCCTAAAATTATATCAGATATTATTAATGATATCCTAATGTCAATTTACTGAGAAATTACGTCGTGAATAGTGCGAAGTAGTGCTGCCAATGTTTCTTATCAATCTCCAAGTCAAGAACGGGTAACTGGTAAGTGAATCGACGTTTATTATACTATACATATATTCTCAACATGTTTCGATATGAATTCGTATAATTATTGCAGATAATACGGAAGTCGATAAATTAAAAAAGGTAAAGAATCAGTTGCAAACAGAATTAAGTAACTTAAAATGAATGAGATGAAAAGAAAGATACATATTTAGAAGGTCAATGCAACACTTCGAAATTTTAATGAAATCTTCAGAAACGAATCCAATAAGTTGTACAAAGAAAATAAAACTTAAACGCAGAGCTTGTTATCATTAATTCTATATACCATGAAGTCTAATCAAACTTTCGCAGTCTGAATGATCAAATAAAGAAGTCAAGTCAACATCCAAGATCACAATAGAATTACTCGACGAAGGCAGTGCTTCTGAAGCAAGAGTGAGAGTTATTTTTATAAGAAATTTGTAGCTGAATTTATATTAACATATACTATAAATTATTGTTAGGCCGAAAGAAAAACTTATTTAAAGGACAAATACCTGCTGAATATCGTTTGGATTATAACAAAATGTTTAGCGAGCAATCGAAAACCATATATGAAAAATTAATACCCGAAATTATGAATAGACACATTAATCCTTCGGTCACTCAATTATCAGATTGGTTACGTTCGATGCATGAGCACAAAAAGAGACCAATTACGAAAATGTAATACAGGTCAATTAGATAATAGACGCATGCATACAAATGCACGGCTTAATGATGTGAGGGATATTTAATTTATAAGTTATCTAATAATTAATTTTTTATATTATATATTCGACAGAATAAAAAAACCAACGATTAAAACCCGCCATTAAGCTATTTGAAAACAATGACGAAAATATTCGAGAATTCGATAAGAATGAAATCTTATCAAATCAAATCATTTTGATTTTCTTTCTTTATCTATTTAATATGGTCATATTTAAGACAAATTTCTCTTTTTCTTCGAACTTATACAACCAACGGAAAAGAACAGAAATTGATTTATTACTGGAAATTGGTTATTACTTTAGATTTATTTTTAGAGTTTCTTGCATATCGTCAAAACCTGAGGTTTTTACTGATGAACTTATTCGAAAGTGTCGAATATTAATTTGAATTGCGTTCGTATTAAGAAATTTAGGCCACACGATGATCTACTTATGTATAATAAAGGTTACTCTTAAAGTCTTTTCATAAATATCACGATATAATATAATTTTTGCGTTAGTCAAGATTATGGAAATTTTTACCACCCCAATCAATATAGCTATATAACTTATTTAAATAAAAAAAATAAATTATTTGGTTTTTCAAAAAAATTAATTTAACCTTTTCGTTCTTCTCCTCATTATCTTAATCGCCTTTTATATTCTTTCGTCTGAGTTCTTGCATCTCCTTTTCCATCGTAACTGGTTAAGCTACGATCAATACACCTATTTGAAAGTCTACTACTAATATTTATTAAGTTTTTGATATAGTTTTACCTTCGGAATTTTGCAAATTTTTAAATATTGTTACCAAATGTTACCTTTTACCATTTAGACGATCTACCAAAACTTTCACATAACAATCTTAAGATTTGAAGATGAACTTTGGAAATATTTTTATAATGATCCATTGAAAGTAATAAATATATAATAATTCCGATACTGACCCACAAATTGACTTTTCATCTTTTCATTCTTATGCGGGTATATCTGTTAAGTTTTTATAACAACTAATTCTAATAGTAATTAGTATTTCTTTCCTTTTGTGACATCTGATAAAAAGTCTGTTATTAAATAAGTTTTCTGTTACTTTTTAAAATAAAAAATCCCTTTACAAATAACTTCTATAGTAAAACATATTTTCTTTATTATTTTCAAGAATCTTACAAGGAATTTTATTATTGAATATTTTTAAATATTGTCAAAAACATTAAAAAAAGAATTGTGGTTAATGCTAAATAGTATATTAACCCGTGTTACATTATACCCTCTTATAAGCACGTCTGTGTTTTTAATAATCTCATAGATATTTTTTATAATCACACCAAATTTTTTGTTTAGAATTAGTTATACAAAGTTTGCATACTCCAGTCTTACTTGAGTTCTTTCAGTCGTAAAAATGCGATTAACATTGCTAACAGATACTGTAAATCAGTTAACCTTATAGGAATAACTACATGTTAGATTCATGGTCGAATAATTTATGACTCAGAATTTGACTTGAATCGTAGTGAAATAAATTTACCCACTAATTAAAGTACGAGAAAATTGCTTGTTTAATTGCTTTAACGGCGTAAATTATTTTATATCTTGGAACCTTTTGATTTGAATATGTTGAATATAAAAAGATAATAAACTTTTATTATGAATAGTACAATAAGTTTAACTAGCAGGTATTTCTCCTTTTTAAATGTCTGCTATTCAATATATTCTTGGGCTCTTTCTTAAAAGAATTCATATTACATAATAATAAAAAATATGGTTTTCGCTTAAATAAACGATTTTAAAAAAATTGGTATCTTTGTGTAACCTACAAATCGTAAAAATATATCGACAAATCAGAAAAGCAGAAAGTGTTTTAACTAAGCTTCGAAATTAGTCGACAATTAGGTACATGTTTTTGGCTCAATTTTTTTGATGTCATTATTTTATTTTCGTCTTTGCTGTTTGTTTATAATATCAAGACTCATACAAGAAGCTAACTTCTAATCGTTTTTCTTTATAACGACAATTCGAGTTTAGAACTCGCTAATAAAAGTAGTTTTACTTTTACGAATATCAATAACGATATGTTACACGGATTTATCACAAGATTTGACATCATTATTTACATAAATATTTAGGCTAAGCAACTTTTTCAAAGCAAGCCATTATAAATAAAAACTTCAATGCCACAAATTAATTCAACGCCTCAACCCTATAATCAAAACATTTTAATTTCGCAATTTTTATTTTGAAAATTTCTTTTTTTTTTTCTTTTTTTTTTTTTTTAATAATGTCTTGTCTTAAACTGCTTGTAAAAAAAAATTTCATATTTTCATGTCTGAATATGATTCCAAACTTAAATCTATAAAAATAATTTTTATTATCCATATACGGTTTAAATTAAATTAAATGTTGATTTGCAACAAAAAAGCACAGTATGGTACCAAAATTTTCGGTTGATAAAGAATCATACCAATCAACATTTATTGTTTGAATTCTACAATTATTAAAATATATTCGGTAATTTTAAAAATAAAATTTAAATTTACATGCATAGTCTAAACCTCAGATAAAAATATAACAAGAAAAACAAAGTTTGTTAAAAAATAAATTAAAATAAACAAATAATTCAAATCTAAAAATTTCAATTATATTTTTTTTTCAAACCAATATGACTTAATTAGTCTTAAACTATGAATATGCTGAAAATGAGTTTGGTTTTTGAAGTTATTCATAATTTAAGAACATTTATTTTTAAAAAAAAGTGATTTTAAAATTTATTCTTAAAAGTACAACTAATGACATTTGAATGTAACATATTAATAACTTTCTTCCCTTTGTAATCCTACTTTTTTAAAATTAATTGAAACAATGATTATTATTTATCAACACTTCAAAATTTTACAAGAAATGATTTAATGAAACGTATTTAAAATATTAGTTATATCAATACTTTATTACATGCTTATTTTATATATATATATTATCTGTAGTAAAATATTTTTGATTAAATATAGTAGCAATCATTATTTACTTTCTTTTTTACATCATTAAAATGATTCAATTTATTTTACCTACTAAAATTATATACGTTGAAACCGGCAGAAACTGACAGACCTGCCAAATCTGCTATATCTGCCAAATAGAACACACATATTATTTATTATATTTCTATTATTTATATCATTATTATCATTTATATCATATTTAACATAACTAGTATA